CACACACACACACACACACACACACACACACACACACACACACACACGCCCCGCTCACCTGGGGGGCGCCGGGAGCGCGGTGGAACCAGCGAGCAGCAGCAGCAACAGCAGCAGCGGAGGCTTGGGCCATGGATGCTCCATGGTCGGGCTCCGTGTGTACTGAGCGGTGCAGCTGCAACCTGGGCCCCGCGCCCCTGCTTTATAGCTGTCCCGGCGGCAGGTGGGGGGCTCCGGCACCGCCCCGGCTCCGCGCGGCCGGCCGCGCCCCATCGATTGCGGGAAGGTCAGGGCCACCCCCACAGCTGTCGTCCGGCCACCTCCCGTCCAGTTGGCGCCCCTCAGCTGACTGGGAGGGGGAGTAGAGGGGTTAGTGCTACCAGGTAGACACTCCATCTGGGACCACGGGCAAGGAGCAGGGTATGGCAGTTCAGGACAGGCAGAGGGATCGCACTGCCAGGCCCCTTCAGCCTCAGTTCATCTTGGCGCCAACCCTAGACCCTGGAACACTCTTCTCAGGAGGGGGCTGTAGGTGTTTTGAGAAGCCTAGAAAGGGCCAGTAGATGACTGAGTGGGGAAGAAGACCAGAGTCCAAACGCCCCGGAGAAACCAGGGCAAGGGATGGGGACCGATGCAGAGAAACCGCCTTTAAGGGCAGACAGGCACCCGAAACAAAAATGGGAATCCTCTTAGGCCCTGAGGCTGCATTTTTAGATGGGAGCAAACAGCCTATTCGTGTTGGAATCAGGAGGTAAAGCTGGGGTAGAATAAGAGAAAAGCAGGCCTTAGAGGTTGTATGGGAGGGAGGAGCTATGGATGGGAATGGACTTGCACAGCATCTCCATCCCTGGCATCCGGGACAAGTGGTAGGACACTTGTCTAGCGTGCACCAGGACCTGCGGTCCACCCAGCACCGAAACCCAAACCAAAAGACAATCATTAGAATCAAATTACAAAACTAGCTAACTGTTATGAACTAGCTCTTGAGTAAAAGTCATGTAGTGTTTTTTTTTTGTTTGTTTGTTCTTTGTTTGTTTTTTGTTTGTTCGTTTGTTTTTTGAGACAAGGTTTCTCTGTGTAGCTTTGGTGCCTGTCCTAGAACTCGCTCTGTAGACGAGGCTGGCCTCAAACTCACAGAGATCCAGCTGCCTCTGCTCAAAGGTGTATGTCAACACACCACGGCCAGGCTTTGCTCTTCTCTTCTCTTCTCTTCTCTTCTCTTCTCTTCTCTTCTCTTCTCTTCTCTTCTCTTCTCTTCTCTTCTCTTCTCTTCT